TAGGAAAACAAACAGATTTGTTCTGGAGAGGGTTAAACCAGGTGGCTGCTTGGAGGCAAGGATTCTGAGGCTCCGTCTAACTTACTTTGAACATGTTGTGAGGAGAGACCGGTCACTTTCTACTAATTATGCCAAATTTTTTTTGCTTTTAACAATAGTTAACAGGAATTAACTATTTCTTCTTTTTCATTAAACCACGAATAAAAAGAATGTGAATTTTTTTTCTCTTTCTCATTGACTTCTTTCTTGGTTGATGTTAGTGGCTCAACTATTCACATAAGTCACAAACTCTTAATCTTAAGAATTATGCATTTTGCACCACAACAAGATAAAGGTAAACACTCCAATTGAAAAGTGGGCACAGGATATGAACAGACACTTCACCACAAAGACATTCAGATAGACAAAAAGCACATGAAGAAATGTTGAAAATCCCTAGCTCCAAGAGAGATGCAAATCAAAACAACTATGAGATATCATCTCACAACAGTAAGAATTGCAAAATTTAACAGAACAGCAACCAACAAATGCTGGCAAGGCTGTGGAGAAACTGGAACCCTTCTTCACTATTGGTGGAAGTGTAAAATTGTGTGACCACTGTGGAAGGCGGTGTGGTGCTTTCCCAAAAATTGCAAAGAGAGATACCATTTGACCCAGCAGTTCCACTACTGGGAATATATCCCAAAGAGACCATAACTGACATCCAAGCAGATATATGCACAACCATGTTTATCGCAGCTTCGTTCACAATGGCAACGAGTTGGAAACAACCTAAGTGCCCATCAACAAATGAATGGATAGAGAAGCTCTGGTATATTCACACAATGGAATACTATGCTGCATTGAAAAACAGGGAACTCATGAAATATTATTCAGAATGGGTGACCCCGGAGGACATTATGCTGAGTGAAGTATCTTAGTCACACAGGGACAAATACTGCATAGTTCCACTGTTATAAAACAGGACTGACATCGGGGTTTGGGGGAGACAGAGAAAGATGGGATAAATGATGTATACTGCATTGAAACAAATGAGGGAGAGAACTGTTTAAAGGGGATATGTGTTTGAATATTATTGTCATGACAGGAGTGCAGAATGAAGGCTGCATAGTAGAGTGGACCTGGGGGGAGGGATTGTATAACAATCTCTTTTCAAAGAGAAGAGTGTTCTGTTGTGGGAGGGGTGTCCAGGCAGAAAAATGCAACGATGAATGAATGGAAATTCAAAGTCTCTGTAAATTTTCATTAAAATTATTAATAACATATTTTATTTTAAAAATAATTATGCTTCCCCCCCATCTATAATTAATACATAGCTAGTTCCCCACTGTTCTAGTCAGTCTGACTCCTGGCAACCTTCCATCAGTTTCTAAATGCTAGAAATCTTAACAGTAGAGTGCTGTTTCTTCCTCCCATAGAGCTGATGGGGAGTTTACTTTGCAGATCTTTCGGTTAGCAGCCCACCATTTCTTCTACTGGAGCCTTAAACAATTCATAGGAGTGAATTCCTACCCCTCAGTGTAATTAAATGTGTTTGTGTGTTTTTCTGTGTGGGCTGAAGAACCACAACAAAAACAGTAAAGGATTGACATGGCGCTACATAACACAAAACTTATTCCCAAGCGTATTTATTACAATGTAATTTGTGTTTTAACAACATCTCAACCCAAGAGTCACATAATTAATTACAATTGGAAAAAATTATAGATTGTGAGAGAAAAACTGTCTCTGAAAATGTCTAAGTTCACATGTATAAAATTTGTACATGTTAATGATTTTTTTTACTTTTATTAATCAGAGTTTGAGAATTACATGGTGAACACTGAACCTTAACTAGCATATTGTGAAATTTATTTTTTTAGTATTTACTTTGAATTTTAAAATCTTGCATTTTTATGGCTATAATATAGTATTTTTAAGATCACTATTAAAATTCTGCTCTATTTTTCTTCAAACTGTATATGTCCTCCTTACTTAACCTATTATTACATATAATTTTATGATGGTTTAACCTATTTCATATATAAAAACATATATATATGTATTAGTTTTAAAATGTGGGTAAATTTTATGGTTTACAAGTTATTAACATTTGAAACACACACATACAAAATATTTTGTCTCCTTCTACTTTTCAGGAGAAACAAGAGATATACTGAATTAACATCTTGCTGCAGCTGCAGAGAATGAGGACATACCACTACCTGGCATTATTCATGTGGACCTGTATGCTCTACACAGTTGATGCCATTCCGTTACAAGAAAGAACTAACAATTATTTACCTATCAAAAAGACAGTGGATTTGACAAGAGATAATGGTAAATTGTTACGTCGCAGCAAACGAGGTTGGATGTGGAATCAATTCTTCTTACTAGAAGAGTACACAGGTTCAGATACACAGTATGTAGGAAAGGTAAGAATTTTATGTGGAAAAAAAATACATGTATTTCTATATATGTAAATTGACCATGAGAGAGGTTAATTTTTTCTTTCTAGAATTCTGTTCATCATCAATGGCAATGTGAAAATATTTAAGCAACATTGTGGCAGAAAGTGACGTTTCTATCTTAGAGTAAGGTAGCTTAGGAATATAGATTATTCAGATGATTAAACAAGTGTCAATACTCAAGTTATTTTTATGTCTAGTCAGTTTTAACAATAGAGATATTATATGACAGAATAGAACTGCACCATAGGTTTTCCTAAAATGTAATCACCAGGGCTTAACATGATCCTGCTGCTAAGTAGTTTCAAATCACAAAACATACAAAACAATGTGTCTTAGAATTTTAATTGAAAATCATATGTAAATAATGTACTAGCTTGTTAAATAAAACAAAAAAAAATCCTGTTGTAATATACAACATAATTATTACCAGACTAAGAATGCTTGGTATGAGAAAACAAAATTATTACAGCTCTGTCTAGATATTTTCTATCTAACGTTGCCCAAGCTGGAGTCTTTCTTATGTTTTCAAAGCACAAGGGTTCTAATCACAAAAAAAGATAGTGAAAGTAATTCATGTAAACCAGTATATTTAAAAAAATTTATAACAAAGAAGGTAGTTCATGTATGCAAGCAACAAAATAAATAATGGCTTATTGGCAGTAAGGGTAGATGTTATAGAAAACATACAACTCCTTTCTTGACTCCAGTTCTAAGGACATATTTGCTTTATTTGTCCTTTTTTTCAGTCAGGTAATGTAAGTTTTCACACACAAATGGTTTTATACGTATTTGTCTACTATCCTTTACCAAGTTCATATGTTAATCATACTCAGGGTTCTCCTGAGCTCAATATTAATGCCTAGTGATATTTTCCAAATTTTGATAATACAAGCATAAAATAAGCAATTATGAATACTAACATTACCTGGAAGGCACATACTTATCCTTGACCCTAAGTGTTAAAAAATGTATCCTTATTGATCAGAGTATTGCTTGATGGATTGGTATCCTGAGAGCAATATAATAGAGTGCAGCGAAAATTCAAATATACTATCTTATATTACAAAAAGTATATACTTTTAAAAAATATCATTTTTTTCTAGAATTGTCAAACCTTGTCCCAAGACCTCTTTTCCTCTTCTCCTTCCCCTTCCCTCCTCCTCTCCCCATTTCACCTTCTCCTAACCCCTCGTCCCTCTTCCCTTTTCCTCCTTCTCTACCCACCTCTTCTCCCTTTCTCCCACTATTTCTTTCTCACTCCCTTTATATATGTGTGCCCGTGCACATGTGCGTGGTAATATAGTGTATTTTTCAAATGTATCTTTCTTTGTCAGAAGCCTATTATTTTCTCTTCTGATACTTTCCTCCTCCAGTTTCATAGGTCATTCTCATTTCATCTTGTTCAGTTCACTTGCTGGCTTTTCCCATCTTATTCTTCCTCAGGTTAAGCACATGACATCCTCCAGCATCCCTCATTTAACATCAATTTTCACACTATAGTTAATAACTAACATCAGGATACTTCAAGTTCAACTGGAAAATGTTTGTGTCTAAAGACTTGAAATTGCCTTATGATTTCTTTTTTGAAGGCAATGTATAAAGGACAAATTTCGGTCACAGGGTCTTACATAAAGGGTTTCATCTTTGGAAATTCACAGAAACAAAATAATAGCCACAATGAAAAGGAGAGACTCATAATCTTAAGGCAATGGAAACTCCATTATGGGTTTTTTCTATATAAGTATTTTTTCTTTACTTTAAAAATATCTTCTTTTCCTGAATATTGCATGTGTATTGATTAATTTTTCAACTGGCCAGTTTTACTGCACTAATATTTTGCTATACACATTTCATTTTGACACAGTGTACACTATCTTGCTTGGTTTTTATGAACTTTCCATTACATTATAAACAGTAATTGTGCATGTATGCATATTTATACTTACTCTTCATGCAATACTTTGTCATTCAACTTGGGAATAGCACTCTTTTCACCCACAGGTAATGTTTTACTCACAATGTGTTGTGACTATCTTGGACAATAAGGTTATGAGCCTAAAGTGGAAAACTAAGATAGTAAAAACTTTCATTTTATGAGAAAATGGAGCCACAATTTTGTCTTCTAAAATTTAAATAATGATAGTAAAGATCATATAAAGTGGACATTATCTTCAAAAGAATAAAACAGTAATAGTTCTATGGGAAAATTGCTTCCACTATTTGATTATTGGTACTTGTTTTATGTTTTGTTGTTACATGCCTTACAGTCAAATGTGACTCATAGGAAACCTGTCAAAAGTAGACCAGAACTTTGTCCTAACCTGTGTTGTCCTCCACAACTCTGACACACTTGAGCCCATTGTTATAGTCACTGTTTCATCACTGTCCATCTTGTTGTTGCCTTCCTTTCTGAATCTAACCCTCTAACTCTGCAAACTTGTTGTCCTTCTCCAATGACTTGCCCCTCCTAACAACATCACCAAATTTTATGAGACACCTTTTTTTTTTAATCATCCTTACCTCCAAGGTACAGCCTAGTTTCACTTGCTCCTAGTCAAACATGTTTATTCTCGTGGCAGTTCATGGAATAGTTAGTACTCTTATCCTTTACCACAACTAAAAAGCATCAGGCACACCTTAATCTGTCAAGTTGCATCATTACTCCTTAGTACTCTGGAGTAGTCCAACTTTCAGACACATGATGAGTGACTGAAAAGACCATCATTTGGACTAAATATACCTCACACCTTAAACTGATATCATTAGAGTTGTGATTGTTGTTGTTGTCATGTGCCATCAAGTCGCTTGCGATTCATAGTGACCCTATGTACAAGAGCTCTAAATGCTGTTCTATCCTGTGCCAACCTAGCCATCTCAAACACACTTATTCCCACCGCTCCAGTCACAGAATTGATCCATCTCATCAAAGGTTTTCCTCTCCTTTGCCGCCCCTCCACTCTTCCAAACATGATGTCCCTCTCCAAGGACCAGTCCCTCCTTGCAACATGCCCAAAATATGTCTGACGAACCTTCAGAATCCTTGACTCCAGGGAACACTCTGGCTTCACCCTCTCCAGGACAAACCTGTTTGTTCTCCTAGCAGTTCATGGTATATTCAACACTCGTCTCCAGCACCACACCTCAAAGACATCAATGCTCTTTCTATCAACCCTATTCACTATCCAACTCTTTGATGTATAAAATTAATTGATGCAATATTTTAATGAAAGCTTAATTTTTTTTCTGCATTTGTTTAAATGTCTTAAGAAGAAATAAATGTTGGAACTTGTATCTAGATACCCTTTTTACAATATCTGATATTTAATAACTTTTTACTGATACTGATTGTATACTATGTTGTCTGTGGTACAGTTGATTAAGAGATTATTGGTTCAAACCTACCAACTGTTTCTTGGGGAAAAATTATGAGAACCATCCCATAGAGATTTACAGCCTCTGAAACCCAACAGAGGGTTTCTATGACACAGCACCGGTAGGTGTCAGATATTTACAAATTTTATTTGTTGTTGTTGTTATGTGCCGTTGAATCGCCTGTGACTCATAGCAACCCTATGTGCAACAGCCCCAAACTCCGCTCTGTCCTGTGCCAATCGCACTGTCTCTGACACTCCCATCCCAATTATCCCAGTCACTGAATAAAAAAATTTTATTTAGTGTAGTTTAAAAAATGGTGTTTTTTTATCTTTTCATCAAGAAGTTATGTATGCAAAAATCATAGCAATTGCCACCTACTTGCTTTTCAAGTTGAATAGACACACGTGACAGAATTATTGAAACCAAATAGTAATAGATAATGAGAAGAAGTAAAATTATTTTAAGAAGTAGTATAGCAAATGCTCCAATTACTCTGTTAAAGAATCTCTGTGTACATTTTTTTCTCATGATACCAGGTCCAGGTTGCAGAAGATGTTTTCTTATATGAATCAATCATCAATTGATATGGTGTTAATATAGAGTTGGAATTGAGAAGAATTAAATGAGACATTATTATCTATTTGTGAACCCATATATCTTGCATTAAGACACTATAATATTCCCTCATGCTATTTATTTTTAAGGAAAATATTAAGATTCATAATATGATTTTAAAATGTTGACTTAATTTAACATTACATTTTAATGCAAAGAAAGGTTTTAAACACTTGATTTGTTTGATATTATTATTGTTCTTGTTAGGTGCTATTGAGTCGAGTACTACTCTTAGTGACCTATGAACAAAAGACCCATACCCTGTTCTATCTTGCACCATCTTTAAACTTTCTGACTCACAAGAGCCCATTGTAGCAGTCACTGTATCGATCCCTCAAGCTGAGGGTCTTCCTCTCCTTTGCCAACCCTCCTTGATAGTGTGTCAAATACCTCTCTAAAACAAAGTGTTATGTAAATGCACCAGTTTCTCCATCCATTCTTTTTTTTTATGAACATTTGGTAATTCTATGTTCTTGCTATTGTGCGTTGTTAATAACAATTCTATGAACATAGTTGTACGTATCTCCATTTGTTTCGCAGTTATGTTTTCCTTAAGGTATATGTAGAGTAACAGAAAAGATGAGTCAGACGGGATTTCTAGGTTTAGTTTTTTGAGTAATCATCAAACGGCCTTCCAGAGTGGTTGTGACATTTTAAAATCCTATCAGCAGTGAAATGAGAGTCCCAATCTATCTTCATCCTCTCCAATATTTACTGCTTGCTGTCCTATTAAACTTTGGTATTGCTACTGGGGTGATATGTTATCTCATTGTTGTCATGATTTATATTTTTCTGATTACCAGTGATTTTGAACATTTCTTTATGTGTGTCTGGCAATCTGATTGTCTTCCTTTGTGAAGAGTTTTTTCATGCATTTTGCCCATTTTGTTATTGGGTTGCAAGTCTTTTTTTCTTGTGCTCCATGAAGCATTAAAGAAAAATTATTTTATAATATCTATATAATATGAGAGTGT